TACCGCTGTGCTATCGCTCCAGCCCAGTTTGTATACTCAAACTGAAAAAAAAAATGCCCAGTCTTCCTGGCTCTAAGATTTACATGTTCAACCACAATGCCACACTGCTCCAATGAATCCTTGCTGACAGACTGATGAAGACTAACTCTGTACACTCCTTAACTATTGAAGTTCCTTCCATCTACTGAAGGAGACTTAGCTTAAAGAGAGAAATATGAGGTCTTGGTCTTGGAATGTATCCTCTGCAGATGGAGATATAGTTTAGTATCTCTCATATTCTTGACCCTTTTCCTTCTGTCACCCTATCTTTCTGGGCTTTATTATCATTTACAGCCAATTTAAGAGAATTTTTTACACACTAAGCTCCACTACAGTGAGGTATAGGGAGGCTCTGATCTTCTGACTTCTGGGCGTGTCCCATTCAATCTGAATTCCCATCAGGCTCAATGTGATAATTCCTATATTTTGTTTCTTGTTTTGTCTCTGGGCCAAACCAGGTGGTGTTCAGGACTTATCCCTGGCTCTTCATTCAGGGATTTCTCCTGGCAGAACTTGGAAAATCATATGAAATGCCAGCCCTGCCCTCTGTACTATCTCTCTGACCCTGTATTCCTAGTATTTTAATTTTATTTTTCATGTTATACACAATAACTGGATTAATGAAACAGTATCAATTTTTAAGTTATTTCACACCCCACACACATATTGAGTTATACTGCATTGAAATATTTTAAATTTAGGATTGACAAGGTTAATACTTTTTAAAAGATTTGCTGCTTTGGGTTGAATTGAAGGTGGATAAGATTAGGATCTTACTGAAGTCAGATATATACTGAGTGTATTATGGTTGTTACTGTGGAGAAGAATGGAAGATTTGAGAGATTTAGATTTTCTGATTCTTCTATTCTTCTCCACTATACTGTTTCATCAGATCCAGTTCACATAAAAAATGAATTGAGGGGCAGAGAGATAGTACATTGGTTGGGGTGTTTCCCTTGCATGCTGCTGACCTGGGTTCAATCAGGCACCAAATATGTTCCCAGAGACCCTGTAAGGAATGATTCCCAAACACAAAGCCAAGAGTAAGTCCTTAACGCAGCCAGATGTGGCCCCAAAACAAAACAAAAATTGGAAAGGAATTGAAACAAAATTTTCATGAAACATACTTTCCTACACAATCCTATGATACAGTCTAATAATTTCTATTTCTTTCTCAAATTGATTTTAGTACCTTCTATAGTTTGACCCACGTTTAGAAAGCATAACTTCAGAGCCAGGAAAATTGTACACAGGGCTAAAGTGCTTGCTCTACATTCAGCTGACTTGGTTTTGATCCCTGGCACCACCAGGGTTGAATCCTTGAGCACAGCTAGGCATGGCTTCAAATTATACAGTGATAAAGGTGCTTGTCCTTCATGTGGCTGACACTAATTAAATCCCTTGCATCCACATGGTCCCCTGAGCACTACCATGTGTGACACACCCCCAGAGCAGAGCCAGGAGAATACCCTTACCCCAAGCACCACCAGATGTGGCCCAACCCATCCAAAAGTATTGTTTCAATATCTTTCCATTATTGATAGAATAAGAGATGGTTTCCTTTCCAAGGCCTATAAACCCCTCTATAAATTTGTTCCTGCTTACTTTATTACTTCATGTCCCATTCTTCTTTCTCTCAGCTCAGTATGATTCACTTACACTAGCTTTTCTGTATTTCTATGCACACTATTTTCCTCTCTCCAGTACTTTCCCTTTTGCTGTGTCTTTTGACTGAAAACACTTTACCAGTTTTTATTTTTTAAATTTTTTTATCGAATCACTGTGAGATAGACCGTTACAAAACTGCTCATGATTAGATTTCAGTCATACAGTATTCCAACACCCATTCCTCCACTAGTATACATTTCCCAGCACAAGAGTCCCCAGGTTCCCTCCTATCACCCCTACCCCCTACCCCCTGCCTGCCTCTATGGCACTATGGCAGGTGCTTTTCTTCTCTCTCTCTCTCTCTCTCTCTCTGTGTCTCATTGTGATTTGCAATATAAATACTGAAAATATTCCTTTGCCTACATTTAACACTCAGTTCTTGTCCAGCATGATCATTTGACTCAGAAAACTTTTACGTCCACTCATCAACTAATTCCAACTCAATCATATCTCAGTTTAAATGTCTGTTCTCTTTACTTCCCAAACTATATTGCCCCACATCATTATTCTCTTATCCCCTTCAGCTCATTCTGTCCCTTTATAGCCTTATAACAATTTGTGAATATGTGTGGTTTTTATGTGTTTATTTTACATTCTTTCCAGTATCAGACCATAAAATGAGAACCAAGTCTTAATCATGTCTATCTTATTCACTAGTGCCTCACATGGTGTGTGTTCGAAATATATACCTTAAATAAACTGAGAGTTAAAGAATAAATAAAGAGAAGCAGAAGAGATAGTACAGCAGGTAGAGCTTCTTTTTTGAGTCAAGGAATCTAATTTATAGGAACTAAACATTAGAGTGGGCTGGAGCGATAGCACAGCGGTAGGGCGTTTGCCTTGCATGCAGTCAACATGGCCGACCTGAGTTCGATTCCTCCGCCCCTCTCGGAGAGCCCAGCAAGCTACCGAGAGTATCTCGCCTGCACGCCAGAGCCTGGCAAGCTACCCGTGATATATTCGATATGCCAAACACAATAACAACAAAGTCTCCAATGGAGACATTACTGGGCCCGCTCGAGTAAATCGATGAACAACGGGAGGACAGTGACAGTGACAGTGAAACATTAGAGTGATATTTCATCATTTCAAAGATTAGATAAGAGAATAGATGCTATGGAACAAGATTGAAACAGGAAAACTTGGCAAGCTAAAAATAGTGCTGGTCTAGACTAGAGGAGTGGTAGTAGAAATGAGGAAACTACCTAAATAAGTATGGTAGATATGCAGGAGATAAAAATAATGGTAGGGCTGGGGCTGTAGTGATAGTATAGCAGGGAGGGCTCTTGACTTGCACTCAGCAGACCCTGGTTCAATCCTCAGCATCCCATATGGTCCTCTGAGCACCATCAAAAGTGATTCTTGATTGCAGAGTCAGAAGTAATCCCTAAACATCACCGGGCATGGCCCAAAAACATTTTTTTAAAAAGACACTGGTACGTAAAAAAGAAATTGCCAAAGAAGTTGGAGAAACTGAGGGTTTCCTAGCATAGAAATGGCTGAAGAATGAGGAAATGGTCACCAGCGCCAAGTGCTATCAATGAGTCCCTTAGAATATTCTTTGAAAAGATTTGAAAAATTTAGTGTCATCAAGGTCATGGTAGACCTTGATGACAGCAGTATCAGGCAACTTGTGGAGGTGGACTGGAATGGATTGAAAGATAAGTGGGAAGTTGGGGAAATTAAGATGGTTAAGTGTAGGCGACTCTTTTGTGACATTTATAGAAAAGAAAAAGAGGGGGGTTGTTTACAAGGGAAAGTGTTGGGTACTTTGCTTAGGTGAAAGATGAAGAAATGAAGTTGGAGGTTTGAAGAAAAGAAAATGTTGGAAATAGGTGCTATGGAGAAAGGAAGAGAGTGTGAGAGCTGCCTAGGAACACATAGGGTGTGGGTCAGCGATGGCTGCCTCGTAGAAGTTGGGAGCCTGAGGAGGCACTTTGGGTAGGGTGCTTGCCTTGCATATGGCCAACTGGGGTTCAATGCCCAGCATCCCGTATGCTCCCTTCTCCAGAGGAAAAGGGGAAGGGAAAAGAGAAGGGAGGAGAGGGAGGAGGAGGAGGAGGAGGAGGAGGAGAAAGAAGAAAGAAAGAAAGAAAGAAGGAAGGAAGGAAGGAAGGAAGGAAGGAAGGAAAGAAAGAAAGAAAGAAAGAAAGAAAGAAAGAAAGAAAGAAAGAAAGAAAGAAAGAAAGAAGAAAGAAGAAACAACTAAACTGGGGGACATTTCTGGGAACTGAGGCTATTGGCAAGACAGTGAGGGGTGTCGGAGAGATAGTACAGTGGGTAAGTCACTTGCCTTGTAAGCAGTCTACCCGGCTTCAGGTTTGATCACTCGACTCATTGGGTTCCCTAAGCACAGCCAGGAATGATTCCTGAGCACATAGACAAGGAGTAAGCCTGAGCACCGCCAGATGCGCCCCCCCTCCGCAAAATAAAATAAAATAAAAAACACTATGAGTTCTAATCAGAGTAGAGAACGAATAGCAAAGATAAGTCTTCTCTTAGCCAAGCCCTAGAACTCTGGAACTGGCGGAAAGGCTTCTGGAAAAGAGTGAAGGTTGGGTTAACGGAAGAAATAGAATTGAGAAGGGACAGAAAGACGGGGTAGTTTGAGTCTGGAGACTTGCGGTGTGGGAACTGGTGGAGATGAGGAAGGCAGGCAGAAGGGGAATTTGAGAGTGGGAGGAGGACCTGGGGAGCAGTCTCCTGGAGGCCAGGATGAGGAGGCGTGGCCAAACTCAAATCCCGGCCGAGGGGGCGGAGCCGGGGAACTGGGTCTCAGCGCCGCTGTGGCTGAGGCTGCCTCAGCAAAGGCTCTGGTCCTCCTCACCCCCACTTCTCTGGCCTTCTTCCCGCCCGGCGCTGCGGAGACCCAAGCCGACGCTGGAGGGGACCGAGGATCCCGCCCCAGGCAGTTCTCCTGCCTCCGCGGCTGGAGCATCCGGAGGGATTGGCTGAAGGCGAGCCCCGCAGTCCGCGCGCGCGGCACACACGCTTGCCCCCCACCAGCTCAGTTCTCTCCTTCCTCCCCTCCCTTTCTCTGCCCTCCCCTGTTCTCCGCCCCTCAGCCTCCGCTGCGGCGGGAGGAAGAACCCTTTCCGACCGGGAGAGCTGCAATCAATTCCCTTTCGGAGAGAAAGAAGAGACCCCGAATTCCACACGGACGAGTGCTAGCCCAGAGGCCTTCAAGGGGCTCGTCGACGACGGGAGAGCTCGCGCGGAGGGCAGATCTTCGACCCTCACCCAGCCGTTGCCGCACAGACAGAGCTCCCCAGCAGGCCCCCGGCCTCGGCTAGTCCAATCCTCGCGCGGGGCCCGGGCCGGCGATGCCTGGCAGGGCAGCGGCGGTGGCCGCGGCTGCTGTTGGTACTACCACCGTCGCCACGGCTGCTGGCCGGGGTCCGGGCCGGGGGCTCGAGGCTCCGCAGTGGGGCTGAGCCCGCAGCCCCGCCCCCCGAGCCTGAGGCCGCTGCTCCGCCGGGCGCCGGGCCTCCTCCGCCCGCGCCTCCGCCCCAGGAGCTGGAGCCAAGCGGGGAGCCCGGGCCCCGCGCCCAGGCCCGGACCATGCAGGGCCACCGTGCCCCGGGGGGCGCTGGGCCTTCGGAGCCCGAACACCCGGGAGTCAACAACCCAGGCGCTGCTCTACGGGCCTGTGCCGACTCGGACCCTGGAACCTCAGAGCCCGGACTGCCGGTGCCTAGGGGCTCAGGTTCGACTCTCAGTGGCCCGGCAGATCCTCAGTTTGTCGGACCCGCGGACGCCTGCTCGGGCGCTTCTCCCGGGCCCCGGCTCTTGTTCTGCGGTGCCAGTTCACAACACCACCGGGCCCTGCGCTTTTCCTACCACCTGGAGGGCTCGCAGCCCCGGCTTGGTGAGTGATCGAGAGACCTTGTGAACACGGGCCTGGGGCTGGGAAACGGTTCTTCTCTTCCTCTCTATAGCCCTGCCTAGACCGGCCAACTCACCTTGGCCCTTAGGATCTCCTCGAATCCCCAACCCCTTCGCTCAGTTTTCAGCGTTCAGTTATTTCAGCCTCTGACCCCTAATTCTTCTCTATCTCCTGTGCCCACCCCCCAACCCCTCTTACCGGTCTTCTGAGGCTAATGGGAGAGGAAGCACTCTGAGGAAAAATCGGGCAGGATTAAAAGGAGAAAAGGGAGGATTTACTTGAAAGAACTGGGGTTTGGGGAAATAAAGGAAAGATGGAATCTTCCATTTGCCAAGGGCCTACACTGGGTCGGCCACTGGACTGGGTTCTTTACCTGGGTTTCATTTCCTGTGAGGTGGGTATCATTAGCCTCATTTTGTACGGGAGGAAATTGTGGATCAGACAAGTTAAGTAACTTGCCCAAGGTCACACAGCTAGTATGGAACCACGATTCAAAACTAGGTCTACTTGAGTCCAAATTCTGTCTTTCCACTTACCCAAACAAACTTAGGTTGGAGACCATGAAAGTAATGCCAAGTCTTCTGCTTATGTGATTTCTCCAGTACTGTTCAACTACTTTGGAGTATGAGTGGAAAAAGAAGAGGTATGGTGGACTGATCCACTATTGGGGGTTTTGCCAGCTGTATATTGTGGGAGGACAAGGGAAGGAGGGAGTAAAAGTGCTAGTTAGAGAGAAAGGTGAAAAAGTTGGACGTGAGGGGTGTCTAGCTGAAGCTCCAGAGGTCTAGAGGGAGTGGTTGCTAGCAAGGAAGGAGAAAAGTTCTGGAGTGGGGACACAAGCCAGTTGGAACAAAGCTGTAGAGCTGTATCGGGCTACAAGGTTGTTTGTGAAGAGAAATCATACCTAAATTTCGATTTGCAGAAGCCAAGCCACTTTAGACCAGGCTGGGGCTATAGACCACTGCCTGAAGAGGCCTTTGTGCTGCACAGACCTAAGTACCTGACAGTTCAGCAGGGCCTCTCTGGTCTGGGGACCTCCCAATATAGACCTGAGCTGAGGGGCCTTGGAGAAAAAGCTGTGCATGTTTGTTCTGCCTTCCATTGGGCAATACTGGGCGATACTTCCACATGGTAATACAAAGCTGTTGTGCCTCTTAGGGCCCTCCGCAAGTCACATCCCCAGGCCCCACATGCCTTTGGAGCTGTGACCCAGCAGTAGTTCGGCATACATTGCAAATAAGTTGTGGCTCTTGTTGCTCTTGTGACCTTGAGCTAGTCATGGAACTCTGGGAGTTTTGGGGGGCTCTCTCTGACAACAGGCCTTTAAATGCTCTGCTCTGCATGGTGCTTTTGCTGGCTTTCCAAACATTCCTTGAGAGACATTGTGGAGCAGGCTACTCACCATCTTAACTGAAACAGCTTCTTTCACACTCCCAAACCTGCTTACAACAAGCATTCCAATCTCAGGGTCTTTGCATTTGCCTTTAAAAAGAATCTACCTAGCAGCCCTTCCCCCTGCTCTCCACCTGGCTTGTTCCTCATCTTTCAAGTAGCAGCTCATATATCGCCTCCTTGAGGCTTTAGGTAGGACCACTTGTGAGTCTCCATCACAGTTGCCATTATGCTTTCAAGTTGGCACTTAATACAATCTGCAATCTTACTGGATGTGTCTCTGTTTATAGCCCATCTCCCTCCACTAGAATGTGAGCTCTGCAAGGGCAAGGGATTTGTATCTGTTTTGTTCACTGTTGTATACCCAGCTAACTAGCACAGTGCCTGGCATATAATAGGTGCTCAATAAATCCTTGTTTGAACAAATGCCTGAACAACTATTAAGGGAACACATAGCAGGCCCCTCAGTAACTGTTGTCTGAAACAGTGTTTCCCAAAATGAAAATGCTACTCCATGGGGCAAAGAGCACAGAAACACTCACAGGGACAATAATAGCTTCAGCTGCAATTGGGGGTGTATTTTCAGCTTATTTGAATTTAACTCTATGCTTAGGGGCCATTCCTGGTACTCAAATCTACCTTTCAGAAGGTAGATTTCCAGGTAGCTGAGTGATTTTTTTCTACAAAGGAGGCAGTAGGACAAGTATGTGTGGGAATCTCTGGACTGATAAAAAGTGCAATTGAATTCCTACCCTCTGGATATTCAATCTTAGAATCTGTAACTGAAAGACTTCTAGACCCTGGTTTCAGGCCTATCTGATCAATACTTAAGGTGATTCTGAGTTTTCTTCCCACTCCACCAATCCTTCCAAATTAGAATCATAATCCCTCCCTGTGACTGCTCTCCTTTCTTCCCTTCCCCCCATTAAAAAAACCACAAAGATTCTGGGATTCTTTCCCCAATGAAGTTACTGCTCTTAGTAATCAGTGTACTTTTGTTTCATTTTTTTCTTTAAGTACTTTTAGTTTTTTCTTATTCTGCATTTTTTCAAATTCAAGATGAAGATTGGGAATATGAAGGGCTTTAGGGAAGATGTGGCCTCCCATCCACCCATTCTTAACTGATTCACTGTGTAACATTGGATGAGTGACTTCCATTACCTGATCCTCAATATTTTCATCTAAAGAATGTCTTGAGGAATCTATGAAATGCTTGTTGTAAAGCCTACAAAATGAAATATATTTTTAAATGAGTGAAAAGAGGAGGCAGAGAAATTACTCAGGCTCTGTCAAGGCAGACATGAGCCATGTGATTGACAGAAGCAAAGAGTGTGAGAAGCCTGCCTGCCACTGACTTTCAGCCCAGGGATAGGCCTCTCTATCCACAGTACTCACCTATAATTGACTCCAATATGGGTGAGTTGGTGACTGTAAGGGTGTGTGTGTGTGTGTGTGTGTGTGTGTGTGTGTGTGTGTGTGTGTGTTTAGAGTGTGGCTGTAGGGTGTATATGTGTCAGGAGAGAGAGAGAGAGAGAGATCTTAACCTGAGAGACCTGAACTTGGGTGGGGGATGGGGTTGAGGGAGAGACAAACAGAACTGAACTCTAGAGGGACCTGAACTGAACTTGGGTGGGGATGAGGTGAGAGAGGGAGAGAAAGAGTTCTTGTGTCAAGATTCCCAGATGCTTTGTGATTACCTCCCTCAAACTGCTGAGGACCATTCAGCCACCATCCTTGAAAGTCCAGTAACCCACAAGGGAGACTTTTAAAAATAATAGTTATATTTTATCCCTGTGTAAAGTTTTGAATTGCTTCAAGTGCTTTCTCTTTTAGTTATCCTTTCTGAATTACTGGGAAGGATTGTTGTTTTTGTGCCCATTTCCAAGATTGTTAAAGTCTAAGGCTTTGTTTAATTATGGAAATAATTCAGTTCCTGGGGGTTGAAGGCCAGAGACAGCATAGAGAAAGATGAAAAGGAGTTCCCAGGTGTAATAGGTTTGCTCATTGGGATTTGGGGAAAGCTTCAGGATTGAGACACTTTCAGATTCTGGATGGAGGTCACTTTGGGCTAGATTTTCAGCTTACTTGAAAGAGCCTGAGATATCTTAGATACACCAGGCATTAGATTTGGAGCAGGAAAGACTCCTTGACACCATCTGGTTCTGAGTTTCCCAAAATGAATGAACACAGAATCCCTAGTTATCATTCACAAAATATAATGTGAGGGGCTGTAAAGATAGTATGGGGGGTGGTGAGAGGGTTAAGACACTTGCATATAGCTGACCCAAATTAAATACCCAGAGCTACCAGGAATGACCCTTGAGGACCACCAGATGTAGCCCATCCCCTCCATAAGTAAATGTGGAACCTAGGAAAAGTTGAAATTTAGGAATCTATCTGCAAAGCTCTTCAGATGATTTTGACATCCTCAGCTTAGATTGGGAACCACTGGCCAAACCCATTTTCTATCTGGGGCAGAGGAAGCTAAGAGAAGCAGTTTAGCCATGTTCTTACAGTGAACTAAAATCATGTAGAAGAATGCCTCCCTTCTGGCACTCTCTTCCCACGTCCCTATTGTGGGTTTCCCTCCTAACCCCAAAGAGAAACATGGGCTCTATGCTAAAGAGAGTGATTTCCACCAACCTACTGCACACAAACACTAGCTTCCTCAGTTTATCCTCTGTGCATAGTCCTCTATGCCTCTCTGTGGTGCTCTTTTGTATTTAAAACTATAATGTACTTGAACTGTGGAGCCCTACTAATAGGAAACTGGCATAAGTAGCACCCACTCTAGGGCCCACCTTAAAGAAATGGCATGAGAAATATCAGTGAGATTTGTAGAAATAGGAGGAATATGGATGGAAATCCAGGGGAGGTTTGGTGAGAGCAAAAAACACTGAGACTTGGGGCATTCTCACAGTTGGGGTGGATTTGTATTAGTATTGGGAAGAATGAAGAGTGAAGAATGAAGAAAGTGAAATCTTGAGGTCAAAGGAGAAACATTGAAGGGCTTCGTATGCAGTGCTCAGATAAAGGTGTTTGAGAGATGCCCATAGCTGTAACTACATTTGCAGAGAAGCAAGAAAACAGGCAGATGGAGTTTGCAGTCATTCCAAGAAGAGGTGATACTAGCTTGGGTTCAATCTGTGGCAGTTAAGGGAGGACAAGATTAGAGAGATTTCTAGTTCGAATGTGGACAGACCATGAAGGTGGAGAGGCCAAGGAAGATGAAAAAGTATTTTCTGAAACCAAATTGGGTGACCTGGCAGACAGTGGTGGGTTCCCTCCATGCAAGAGAAAAAACAGATCTGGGGAAGGATAGTGAGTTGTACTTGAGACATTGGTTCATGACTCTAGGGAAATAGATAGATAGATATTGCCAGGGAACATTTATGTATAGGGTCGGAAAGCTCAGAAGAGAGCTTTGTGCCAGAGATGTTTAGGAATTTTTACCACCAATGTATATCATGGATCACACAGCAATTCATAGGGAGAGTGTACATGACTCTAGAGGACAGGTGCATCCTTGAAGAAGGAAAGTGAAGTCAGCAGACTCGCACTTGAGAAGTACTATTCATTACCTGCCCAAA